TACAGGAAAAGTTTGCTGACACCATGACATACTTAAATCATGGAAATATAAAAGAGCACCCAGCCCAGCCTCCTGCTGGCAGTAGGAAGTGATGTCAGGGAATGTTTTTTAGAAAAAAATGATGCTAGAAAGCAAAGCATGTGCAAAGGCCTGAAAGCCAATGACACAGCACCTTTGGAAAACTGAAAGGTGTTTAAAAGGGGATAGACCCTGGCACTCTACCCAGGGCAACAACTTGAAGCTCTGTCTCAAAAAAGAAAAAAAAATGGGGGATAGAAAGAGGGATCAAAAGAAGGATCAATGGGGTCAAACATTGGTAAGAGGTCAAGCAAGAGCAGGACTGGAGAGGGTACCATGAATTGGTTAGGGCAGCTTCAGTGGACCAGTGAGAACAAAAGGCCAGGATGCAGGAAATTAAGGAGAAAATGGACCCAGAGATAGAGAGAAAGAAAAGTAGTAGAGGTGCATACAAAGCAGAATTTTCTTAGAAAATGGGAAGATTTGAATGTTTCAGTTAAATGTTAAGGGCAAGCAGCCCCAGAGAAAGTAAGGGAAAGGATTCAGAGTAAACAGGAGTTATTTTATTTATTTTTTTTGAGACAGTCTTATTTTGTCGCCCTCTGTAGAGTGCCCTGGTGTGATCATAGCTCATGGCAACCTCAAACTCCTGGGCTCAAGTGATCCTCTTGCCTCAGCCTTCTGAGTAGCAGGAACTACAGGCACCCACTCACAATTTTTAGAGACGGGGGCTCGCTGTTGCTCAGGCTGGTCTCCAATTCCTGAGCTCAAGTAATCTGCCTGTCTCAGCCTCCCAGTGTGCAAGGATTACAGGCATGAGCCACTGTGCCTGGCCCAAGAGGAGATATTTTAGAAGGAAGTATCCTTAATGGATACCTCTTCACTGTTACCAGAGGGAAGACAAAAAGCTGGGCATACATTCAGGAAAGTTTTTAGAGATAGTAACCGGAAAATGAGTATGTTCCTTTATGATGTGATTTTCTTTCTTTCTTTCCTTTTTTTTTTTTTTTTTTTGTGAGACTCACTTGGTTACCCTTGGTAGAGTGCCATGGCGTCTTAGCTCACAGCAACCTCAAACTCTTAGGTTCAAGTGATCCTCTTGCCTCAGCCTTCCAAGCAGCTGGGATTATAGGAGCCCACCACAATGCCCAGCTATTTTTAGAGATGAGGTCTTGTTCTGGTTCAGGCTGGTCTTGAACCTGTGAGCTCAGGGAATCCACCTGCCAGCCTCCCCTGCTGGGATTATTTATAGGCGTCAGCCAATCTACGGATCTACTTTTTCAATGAAGTAGAGGGAGAAATGAAAGTTTAAGAAAAAAAGAGAAGGTTTTGGAAAGTCATGGTTGCTCACTGGGAAAGAGAGCTGTGAGGATTACTAGGATATAGCTAAGCACCTGGTCAGGAAGGAAGGAAGGTATGATTCTTTTTCGGGGGGGCCGGGTTTGAACCCGCCAGCCTCGGTGTATGTGGCTGGCACCATAACCACTGTGCTACAGGCACCGAGCTAGGATGCTATGTTTTTTAGCAACAGTAGCCTGTGGAAGTGTGAAGTTTCTTCTTGTAGCACTGGGCAGCCTGGCTATAGGCACAGAAGAGGGAAATACTTGGATTGATCTGTGACTAGGCTTTTATCAGATGGCTTTAACAGGATACCCAATGGATGGGATAAGACAGTTGGAACACTGACAAGAGAATAAATGAATGGATGGACTGTGAAGTCTAAGGTGAAAATAATTAAAGGAAGAAGAGCAAAAAGGATAGACAAGGCAGAGATTGGATGGCTTAATGAGGTTAAAAAAACAAGTGAAATGTGGGTGGCGCAGGTGGCTCAAAAGGGTAGGGTGCCAGTCCCATATGCCTGAAGTGGCGGGTTCAAACCTAGCCCTGGCCAAAAACTGCAAAAAAAACCCCCAAACAAACTAAAAAAAAGAAACAAGTGAAATGGGAGTAACTGAGTGATGATGGATGAATAAAAGGTTTGGTTTTTTTTGAGACAGAGCCTCAAGCTGTCCCCCCTGGGTAGAGTGCTGTGGCATCACAGCTCACAGCAACCTCCAACTCCTGGGCTTAAGCTAGTCTCCTGCCTCAGCCTCCCATGTAGCTGGGACCACAGGCACCTGCCACAACGCCTGGCTATTTTTTGGTTGCAGCTGTCATTGTTGTTTTGGCGGGCCTGGGCTGGATTTGAACCCGCCACCTTAGGTGTATGTGGCTGGCGCCTTAGCCACTTGAGCCACAGGCGCTAAGCCTGAATAAAAGGTTTTTGTTGAGAATGGGATTTGAATTTAAGTCTTCCAAAGCAGAGTAGGGTCCAGTGTGTGACTACAAATGTAGCTGAAATTAGTGGAGGTGAAGGCTACTGCAGATAAGGAGCCAGGAGTTAAAAGTCAAAGTGGCCAACCTCCACTTGGCTTCCACAAAGCAGCAACTAGAGAGTGTGGATTAGTTCTGAGAAAATGTTTGTACCTCAGTGTTTCTGGTGACATGATTTCAGGGGCCATTTCCCAGCAATCAATTTTAAGAATATGCAAATGAAGTTAATATAGTTCGCTTCAGACCTGTGTGCTACCTCCCTCCTCTGAACTCTGGTCATGCTTGTCAGTGATCTCTTTCTGAGGCAGCAGAATATGATGAACACAGAGCAGGTATCAGACTGGAGTCAGGAATCCTCACGTGAAGGAAATTTTGATACCTGCTATAAGATGGATGAACTTTGAGGATGTTACATCAAATGGAATAAGCCAGTCACGTAAAGACAAATACTGTGTGACTCCACTTATATGAGGTACCTAGAGTAGTTGAATTTATGGAGACAGGAAGGAGAATCTGACTGTCGGGGGTGCAGGGGCATGGCTATAGGGTTTTAGTTTTATAATGAAAGAGATATGGAGACGGATGGTCAACAGTGTCAACTAATTTCATGGCACTGAACGTACATTTAAAGACAGTTAAGAGGATGGTAAATGTTGTTATGTGTATTTTGTCACAATTTTTAAAAACTGGAAAAAAAGAAAAGAATCCACACCCCCAGCCAGCCATCAGGTTCCTTCCCAGACTCCATACAATGGCCTTTGGTCAAATGCTTGCCCCTTCCCCCATGAATCCTGGGCCCCTCTTAAGGATTTTTTACTCTCTCTTCTACTCAGCTAAATGGAATTCATTGATCATCTACTTTGTGCTGGGTACCCTGACAGTGTCAGGAATTACAGAAGGCTCAGGGCACAGTTTCTTAGGGAACTCATGGTTTGGTGAGGCAAACCAGCAAACAGTTTGGTGCAATAACTGCAGACAGGGAAAGCCAAGTGCCCATCCTCTACCACTCAAGTTGTGGTCCTGGCACCAGCAGGACCTGCAGGGGCAGGAGGAGTGGGAGCTTGTGAGACATGCAGCCTCTCAGGCCTCACTAAGATCTATTGGATTAGAGCCTGCATTTTAACACAATCTATGGGTGATGCATGTGCGTGTTCAAGTTTGAGGTGCAAAAAAATAAATAAATAAAAAAGCTACAGAAGACAGAAATAGGATGATCAACTCTGTTGGTTTGCCTGGGCTTAAGGGGCGTCCTGGGATGTGGGAGTTTTAGTGCTAAAATTGAGACAGTCCCCGGGACTGAAAGGTTAATTTAGTGTTTGTTTCTGAACCTGGAAGATGCTTTTGCAATACATTAAAATCCTGAAAGGGGAGGAAAGAGATGGAGAGAGAGGGAATAGGACACTGAAGGATTTTTTAGGTGCCAGGCAGACTGGGATAATACTCCTTTGGGGTAGAGGGGAAGACACACATCACACAAGTATGGTGGTAAGTGCTGGGGATGGGAGGAGAATGCATACACAAAAGAAACAAAGAGCAGACGAAGAAAGGAGCGCCTGAAATAAATTCTACTAGAAAGATGGAAGCAAATCACAATAGAAGTATCTGTTTGGGGGATGGTATTTGCTTATCTGCTCATCCTGCCTTGGTTTAAAATCAGATATTATAGTGAATGAGAAATAATATACACTAGATAACTTGATTAACAATACTTTTCTTCAACCTGAGTTAAATGGAACTTTCCTTTCTAAAGCAAAGGAACAGCTTTTAAAAGGCTTTACAAGAAATGAGACCTGGAAGGAAACATGGCCTCTAGGGAGTCAAATCAGATTCAGAAATGGTAGGGTTACTCGTTCAGCTTTACTATTCTCCAACTATAATGCCAGTTGCAGTCGATAAATTAGAACAAACATTAAAGGAGACGGATATATGTATATGGAAGAATCTGCAAAGCATTTGTTTGGTATACAGAAAGTGCCTACTATGTGTTAAGGTAGAAGACCACAGTGCAGTGGTGGAGATAGACATGCTGACAAGTTATTCAAAATATAGTGTAATAAACACGAAATGTAATTAAGTGGAAAAAAATCCGAGGGTAAAAAGAAAGGCATGGCAATCCTCGGGAGAGTTTGTAGAAGTTTCTTGGAGGTGACATTTAAGTTCAGCCTTGAAGGATGGATAAGTTTGTCAGTTATGCCTAGAAGTGCTAGGCCAGAAGAAGCCTAGAGCACTGAGCAACTGCAGAGAAACTCTGGTTGCGACTGGTCTGAGTACTGCGCTGTACAACGACAGAATGAGAGAGCAGGGAGGTAGGTCACGGGCTGGAGAGCACAGGTGTGCAAGGGTCTTTGTACGTCACAGGCAATACAGCACAGTGGTTAGGAGATCGGCTTCGTTCTCATTCGGATCCACCACTTACTGAATACCTATCTTTCAATTAGCCCAGCGTCCGGCTCATATTAAAGGCTATATGGGAATGTACTATCGTTACAACGATTCCCAGTCCCAAACTCGGTTTCTGAGAAGCTCTCAACGGCCTCCTTCCCACTCCTGCGGCTTGGGAAGAAAAGTTAGCTCGGGCTGGGACCGGGTCACTCCCCACTGATCCGCCCTCCCAGGCCTCAGACCCTACTTCAGAGAGCAGGGTCGGGTCAGGCAGGAGGTGGACAGGCCTGCAACCAGGGGACATGCCGCCGCTTACCCGGGCTGGGGTCCCGCTCCTCGTCTTCTGCTGTCCCCCGCGCCTTGAAGCCAGGCGGCAGCGCCGGTCCGATGAGGTCCCTTGCCATCCGCGGCGGCGGACACTGGTCACAGATAAAAGTCTGTCACGTAAGTCAAACCTACCCTACAAGCATCTCGCAACCCACTGCGAAGGCTGGAAGTTTATCCGGCGTCTACTAATGACGTATTAGCCTGTGGTTGGCTGAGCGTAGTTCGCGGTCAAGGAAGTGACGTCTAAAACTTGCCCGACAGTCGCATGGTCTTCTCCCGACCTGGCGGATGGCATGGCTGAGCCCGCTAGTGGTTTCGTGAGTCCTACGGGGTGGCTTCCAGCTCCCGAGCTGACTCCTGCGTTAGGGTCCCTAAGTAGCACTGCCCAGCGGCCGGACAACTGGATGCCCTGGGCTACGCTGCCACCAGCGCCACCGCCCACGTCGTCGTCTACCGCCTCAGTATCAGAGTCTTCCTCGGAGGCAAAGCCCCCAGTGGATGCCCAGACTCTCCCAGGAGCGCCACCTCCCTTCGACGCCCAGATTCTTCCCGGGGCACAGCCCCCCTTCGACGCCCAATCTCCTGTGGATTCTCAGGCTCAACTCAATGGCCAGCCTTCCTGGAATTTCCAGGCTTCGACATCGTGGTATTGGGGACACTCTCCTGGTATTTTCCCTCAGCATCAGATGGCCTACAACCTTCCCGGTGGGCTATTGTTCCTCGTTCTTCCCTATCTCATTTCTCCCTTTCCTCTTTCCACTTTGCCTTTCTTCGAGTTTGGCCATTAATGCCTCAAAATGTTTTTTCCGTCTATTGATTCAGTTAAGCAGTTATTAATATTTACCGAATTCCAACTATGTACCAGGAGCTGGGAATGTAATGAACACACCATACCAAGATTTTTATCTTTATGGAGCTTAAATATCTCTGTAGTGAGGAAGACAGATAATAAATGAAATAAAACCTTGCATTATAGAAGATAATGAGTGCTGTGGATAGAGAACAGAGAAGAATGAATGATAGCGTAGTTTTAAATGTCATTGCTAGTCGCAAGGAAAGTGACATTTGAGCAGAAACTTTAGGGAGGTGAAGGGTCAGAGCCATGCATACATCTAGGAGAAGAGGGACGCAGAGAGAGGGAACTGCAGGCACAAGGCATTGAGAGAAGAGCTGTACATCAGAACTGGAACTAGTGTGGCTAGAGAGGACTGAAACTGGGGTACAGTGGTAGAAAAATGGGGAAGAGGGTAAACCTGTTAGGTCCTTGTAGATCATGGAACTTTGACTATGACTGTTGTGAGATGAATATAGTACAAGAGAGTGGCATGATCTGTTTTATGAGGATTAAGAAGATTAATGTGGCTGCTAATAGTAATTGGTAGAAAGGGAGACTAATTAGGAAGGTATTGCATTTGGCTATGTGAGAAGTACCGGGGACGTGGCCCAGGACAGAACTTAGGGGATGATGAGAAGTAGTTGGATTCTATTAATAAAAGAAGCTGGAGATATTGTGGGTTTGATTCCAGAAAAGCGAGTCACACATTTTTTTTGTTGCCCAGTGCATATAGAAGTTTATACTGTAGTCTACTAAGTGTAGTCTCTTAACATGTCTACAAAATGTGTATACCTTGACTAAAATATACTTTACTGCTGAAAAATGGTAATGGTCATCTGGGCCTTCAGAAAATGATAATCTTTTGCCTCCATGTTGATGGCTGCTAGTTGATAGGTGGGTGGTTGCCAAAGGTTGAGGTAGCTGTGGCACTTTCCTGGACAACAATGAAGTTTGGCTCATTGATTGATTCTTCGTTTCACAAAAGATTTCTCTGTAGCATGTGATGCTGTTTAATAACATTTACTGTAGAATGAACTTCTTTCTTTTACAACTGAAGTCAGTCCTCTCCAACATTACCATTGCTTTATCAACTAAGTTCTGGCACATTCTAATAATGTCAGCTAAATTTATTGACTATTCTAAATCCTTTGTTGTCATTTCAACAACGTTTACAGAATCTTCACTAGGAGATTCTTAAGAAAGCATTCTCTTTTCTTATCCATAACAAGCAACTGCTCATCCATTTAAGAGTTATCATGAGATTACAATATTTCAGTCGTATCTTTAGACATCACTTCTAATTCTAGTTTTTTTGCTGTTTCTACCACATCTGCAGTTACTTCCTTAACTGAAATCTTGAACCCCTCAAAATCATTTATGAGTCTTGGAATCAACTTTTTTCAAACTCCTGTTAATGTTGATATTTTGACCTCCTTCCATTATTCATGAATGTTTTTAATGGCATCTGGAAAGTTTTTGATTGATTTTGCCCAGAGCTATCAGAAGAATGACTGTCTATGGCCATTGTGGCCTCAGAAAGTCTATTTCTTTTATAATGAGACTTGAAAATCAAAATTACTCCTTGACCCATGGGCTACAAAATGTGTTAGCTGTCAGGAAAACATTAATGTTCTGTACATTTCCATCAGAGCTTTTAGCTGACCAGGTGCATTGTCAATGAATAGTTGTATTTTGAAAAAACTTTTTTCCTGAGAAGTAGGTCTCAATAGTGGGCTTAAAATAATTGGTAAACGATGTTATCCAAACTTTGTTTCATTTATGGAGTATAGGAAGAGTATATTTAGCCTTATTCTTAAGGGCCTTACTTAAGGAGCGCTGGCTTCAACTTAAAAATCACCAGGATCACTAGCCCCTGATAAAAGAGTCAGCCTTTCCTTTGAGGCTGTGAAGCCAGGGATTGGCTTCTCTTCTGTAGCTATGAAAGTCCTAGATAACATCTTCTTCCAATAGAACACTGTTTCATCTACATTGAAAATCTGTTTAGTGTAATCACCTTCATCCGTTATCTTAGCTAGAACTTCAAGATAACACGCTGCAGCTTCTTCATAGGTACTTGTTGCTTCACCTTGCATTTTTATGTTGTGGGGGATGGCTTCTTTTCTTAAACCTAAAGAACCAACCTCTGCTAACTTGTTTCTTTTTGTTTTTTTATTTTTAGAGGTGGGCTCTCACTCTGTTGCTCAGGCTGGAGTCCAGTGGCATGATTATAGCTCCCTGTAACTTCAAACTCTTGGGCACTATGGATCCTCCCACTTCAGCCACTAAGTTGCTGAGACCACAGCTGTGAGCCACCACTCCCAGCTAATCTGCTAGTTTTCTAACTTTTCTTCTGCAGTTTTCACACCTCTTTCAGTCTTCATAGAATTGAACAGAGGTAGGGCCTTGCTCTGAATTAGGCTTTGGCTTATCAACAAAATCTTTCTTATGATATATGTATTTCAGTTCCTTTAAGAACATTTCTTTTGCCTTCACAACTTAGCTAACTTTGGTACAAGAGGCCTAGTTCGTGGCTTGTTTCATCTTTCAACATACATTCCTCACTAATCATTTCCACCTTTGATTTAACATGAGATATGCATGTCTCTTTCTTTTACTAGAACACTCAGAAGCCCTGTTAGGGCTGTAATTGACCTGATTTCAATATTGTGTCTCAGGGAATAGGGAGGCCAGAGGAGAGGGAGAGAAATGAGGGAATGACTGGTTGGTGGAGCAGTCAGAATATAGTCAACATTTATCAAGTAAGTTCACCATTTTATAAAGTGTGGTTTGTGGCATCGCAGAACATACAGTGGTAGCATCAGAAACCACTGATCACAACTCACCACAGTACATAACAGTAATCATGAAAAAGGTTGACATACTGTAAGAATTACCAAAGTGTGACATAGAGACAAAGTGAGCACATGCTGTTGAAAAAATTATGCCAACAGACATGCTTCCCACAGGGTTGCCACACCTTCAGTTTGTAAAAAGTGCAGTAAAATGAAACATGGCCTGGCACGGTGGCTCATGCCTGTGATTCTAGCACTCTGGGAGGCCAAGGTAGGGTTTCACCTAAGCTCAGGAGTTCAAGACCAGCCTGAGCAAGAGTGAGACCCTGTCTCTAAAAATAGCCAGTCATTGTGGCAGGTACCTGTAGTCCCAGCTACTGGGGAGGCTGAGGCCAGAGGATTGCTTGAGCCCAAGAGTTTGAGATTACTATGATGATGCCACAGACAAAATGAGATTCTTATCTCAAAAAAAAAAAAAAAAAAGAAAAGAAAAGAAAAAGAAACATAATGAAACCAGGTGGGCTAATGTATTTTAAAGGTAGGGCCAATGTGATTTGCTGAAAGATGAGAAATGGGATGTGAGATAAAGAGAAGAGGAGGAAAGCTTGTGGTTTGTTAAACAACTGAAAGGATGGAGTGATGGTTAACTGAGTTAGGGAAAAAGTGTGGATGGAGCAAATTTGGAAGGAAGACCAGGAGCTGACTTTGGAATATGTTTGTGTCAAGTAGAAATACTGATTAGACCTTTAGCTGTTAGTCTGTACTTTCAGGGGAGATTTGTGGCTAAAACTGTAAATTTAGGTATCATTAGAGTATAGATCATATTTATAGCATGAGATTGTTCATTTAAATCCATTCTCCAAGTCTGCCTAAGATTCAGTTTACGTTAAATTGAATGCAAACCATCAGGATTTACTGTGCACCTGATTCTGGGACCATCAGCATCCACTAAGTCAGATGAGGTACCTGATTCTGGGACTGTCAGCATCCACTAATCAGGTGCATTTACTGTGCACCTGATTCTGGGACTATCAGCATCCACTAAGTCAGATGAGGTAGCTTCATAAGTATAAATCACAATACAGTGTGACCGGTCGTAGAGGCACATAAATGGTAATTTCAGAGTGCAGAGGGAAATTGGAAAAGAAATGTCTTGGAGGGTGTGTAGAGTTTGGGAAGAGATACTTGTTAGGTAGAGGCAAAGAGGTGCCAGTAGAAGGTAAGTTCTGGAGATTGCATTGTTTTGTGTGACTGAAGCAGAGTATATGGAAGGTATGGGGAAGGGTAGGGTAAGAAAATAAACTGGAATCTCATGGAAGGATTCTAGGAAGCTGTCTTAGTCTGTTCTGTGCTTCTGTAACAATACCATTTATTAAGAAATGTGTAACAAACAGGAATTTATTCAATACCTAGTTCTGGAGGTTGGCAAGTTCTAGATTGAGGGGCCACGTCTGGGGAGGACCTTCCTGCTGGAAGGCATCACATGGTAAAATAGAAAGAGAAGGGGCCAGATTAATCCTTTTACGAAAAATCTGTTCCTGAGATAATCATTCCCACTCTGTAAGAGTGGCATTAATCCATTTGTGACCTAATCACCTCTCAGCACGGCTGCTTTGGGTTTTTGGTTTCTCACACATGAACTTTGGGGGACACATTCAAACCATAGCAGCAGCCATTTGAAGATTTTTGAGCCAAGTTGTGACATGATTGGAGAATTATTTGTGTGTGTCAGGTCTGTTGGAGGAGGGGGCTTAGGGACCAGAAGACAATTTGAGAGGCTGGCACAGTAATCTAGGTGAAAGATCAAGAGTTCTAAATTGGGCCATGGCAATAAGAATGGAAAGGTGCAGGGGGATTTGAGAGGAGATGTATTTCACAAGGTTCTGTTTTCCTGGTGTGAAATTCTAGCCAAAGGAGTGGTATTAGGGATTTTACTTGTTACATTTCTAATGTTTGAAATAACTAAAGGGATTTCATCAAGTTCAGTTGTCTATTCCTGCACTTAGATGCCTAGAGCATCTATGGACAAGTAATCTCAACAGTCTTTCTTCATTTGGAAAGTATTTATTAGGGCCAAGTGTGGTAGTTCATGCATGTAATCCCAGTGCTTTAGAGGCTGAGGCTGGAAAATCAGAGTTCCACATTAGCTTGGGTAACATAGTGAGACCCTGTCACTGCAAAAAAAAAAAAAAAAAAAAAAAAATTAGCCAGCTGTGGTGGTGTGGACCTCTAGTCCTAGCTTCTCTGGAGGCTGAGGTCGTCACCGTGCCACTGCCTTCCAGCCTGGGGGATAGATAAAGACCTGTCTCAAAAATAATTAAAATATTTGGTAGAATGGTCTTAGTCTTGGTTAACTTGTTTGTACTATTATTCTTCCAGTAAGGAGTAGTTTACCAGAGTAAATATTTGTGATATGTTATGGTAAATAAAACTTAAGAGAATTATATTGTTGCACACATTCATGGATCTCTTTTTGTTTTTTAGTTAAACATTCTTATTTTCCACGAAAATGTGAGGCAAAGTTCACTGACTTCAACTCACCTCCATGTAGAAAGCAGAAAAAGAAGGTATTTTTAAGATGTTCTTGAATTTGACACTTTGCTCCCTATGTCAGTTTCTTTTTTTATTTTATTTCATTTATTTTTCCTCAGTCTCTGTTTCTTACCTTGTACTTCTCTCTTAACTGACCCAGTGTTTTGTGTCCATTATTGACCCAGGAACCTTGCTAGAAATAGAATTTTTAAAGGATCCTAGCTGTAAGTAAAAACTTCAAGCAAAATCTTTTTTGAGAAATGGAAAAATTATGGAAAAAGACAACATTGAATCCATTTCAATACAGTATCAGAAGTGATAATAATTGAGGATTATGATTACAGATAAATGTAAATGTTATTAAACCTTGATATAGTAGAAAAAGTAATATTACTAGCAGGACTGGGAGGTGAGGGATAGAATTTAGGGAGAAAAATAAAGTCTAAACCTTTTCTCTTACAAGGCTGTAAGCATGAAATTAAGGACAAATGATAATGATACAAACCTTTTCATTTTCATAATCCTTTTTCCTTAAACATGGATCTTTTGGAAAGAGATATTTCTGTTAAAAGATCAGTTCCTGAGAATATTTTCTATATGGTTTATTGTTGTAATAATCTTTTTTGTTCTATGGTTAAGTATGAAAATAGCAAATTAGAAATAAAAAATAAAAAATCTTTATCTAAATGATTCTCCCCCCAATGTGATCTGATATATATGTATACATACACATATATATATGTTTCCTAAAAGAGTAAATGCTATTTTTATTCTTTATTTTCATTTTTTAAATATTTTTGTTCTTTATTTTTAGAGTAAATCTAAACATTTATTTTTAGATTATCTTGACATATATGATCCTAAGTCTTAATTATATTTCCAATTTGAAATCTACTCATAGTTTATATCAGCTTTAACTAGTTTAAAAATCTTTTAAATTGGCTTGGCACCTGTGACTCAAGTGGCTAAGGTGCCAGCCACATACAGCTAAGGTGGCGGGTTCAAATACAGCCCGGGCCCGCCAAACAACAATGATGGCTACAACCAAAAAAAAAAAATAGCCAGGTGTTGTGGCGGGCGCCTGTGGTCCCAGCTACTTGGGAGGCAGAGGCAGGAGACTCACTTGAGCCCAGGAGTTGGAGATTGCTGCGAGTGATGCCACAGCACTCTACCCAGGGGGATAGCTTGAGGCTCCGTCTCAAAAAAAAAAAAAATCTTTTAAATTGGGCTGTGCCTGTGGTTCAGTGGGTAGGGCACTGGCCCCATATACCAAGGGTGGTGGGTTCCAATCCAGCCGTGGCCAGACTGCAACAAAAAAATAGCTGGGCATTGTGGCGGATGCCTGTAGTCCCAGGTACTTGGGAGGCTGAGGCAAGAGAATCGCCTAAGCCCAAGATATGGAGGTTGCTGTGAGCTGTGATGCCACGACACTCTACCAAGGGTGATAAAGTGAGACTCTGTCTCTAAAAAAAAAAAAAAGAAAGAAAGAAAAAATTTTTTAAATAATGGCTGGCTTCTGCTAATAATATTTGCTAAAAATAAACAATCATAGAAATATATTCCGAATTTTCTTTCACACATGAGGGTAATGTGAAAAATTGAGGTATATATTACTAGAAGGATAGCTATATTCTTATTATTGATTAGTGATTTTTCACCAAAAGCCTAATGCCTCTTTGTTTTTGTTTGCAGAAAAGAAAGGAACCGGTTTTTCACTTTTTTTGTGATACCTGTGATCGAGGTTTTAAAAATCAAGAAAAGTATGACAAACACATGTCTGAACATACAAAAGTAGGTTCTCTTGGTTGAAAAGAGAATTTAAAATTGATGTAGGAAAATGGGCCTTCTATTTGTAGATTTTATAAAAATTTTAAGCTTGCTTTTTTAAAAAACGTGTGCTTTTCATAGAAATACAGTTTGATAACTTGGCAAATGTAGATAGTAACCCTGGGATTTGCAGTTTGAGGGTAGAGAACCCACTGCTTTCAGAAGTAAGGTGGCAGCAAAGGCAGGAGATTAAGCAGATCTGTCTGTGTGCACCTCCACTGCTTGGTAGGAGGCTGGGTCCCCTCCAGCTGTCCTATGAATGCTTGTTAGTTATTTTCCCTTGAAGGCTGCCTGCAACCTTTGAAGTACACTGTGTCATTTGGCCTATCACCCTCTAAGGATGTTCCAGACCTTATTAAGTACTTTTTTAAAGAATTTAACTAGAATGTTTAAAAAGTTAAAGTCATTGGAGTGTGGTAAAGGTCTCTTTGTGTTTATGAGAATGTCTTCATTCCCATAAAATTAAGAACAATAAGTGCTTTCAATCAAATGGAGAAAGCAATGATATGTATTACTGTACTGAGCACTTTGAGAGCGTCATTCATTTTTAAATGCAGCTTTCTTTTGGAATGATCTTGTTTTGTTACTGTTATAAGCATGTAGTGATAATGCCACATAGATAGGATGACTATGTAATATCACCAGAGTATGTTCTGTGTTTGTATAGTAGGATAAATTTAATATGGAAAAATGAGTCTTTTTTTTAAACTCTTACAGTGTCCTGAAGTAGATTGCTCTTTTAGTGCACACGAGAAGATTGTCCAGTTCCATTGGAAAAATGTAAGTGTTTTTTTAAACCCTATCTTTTTTTGGTTATGTCCTCTTTCTGTATTATTGATCTGTTATCTTCACAGCTATTCATTTATATAGCCTAATAATAAGTAACATTCATGCAGTACTTTGTAAAGGATTTTTACATCTCTTATTCAATTTTATCCTCATGAACAACTATGTGAAGTAAGTAAATACTGTCACATTTAACAAATTAAAAAAAAATAACTTGCCCAAAGCCTCGGGACCAGTTCTTGCACTTGAGTTTCTTGACTCCAATGCTATGCTGTTTTACTACACCATGCTGCTTCAAATTGTCATATCTCCTCATTTCTTTAGCTACCTTCCTTAGTTTTGAATGGTAAGTCATTCATTTGGGTATTTAATGTCATTTGAGAAAATAGGTGACATAACTACTTTGGATCCAAAATTATGTTCTTCCCCCCCTCCCGCCAATTAATAGCATTAGTCAAAATACATGAGAAATTATTCTCATAATTTCCTTTAAAGGAAAAGTCATAAGATACATGGATAAAACCTGTATAGTTTTAAAATTGTATCCAGCATTACATTTAGTGGTTGTGACAAAGTCTCCAAATGACTCAAAGGCAAATGATGTGCTTCCTGATGTTTAGCAGGCTTTTCCCCCTTAGATGCACGCTCCTGGGATGAAGAAGATCAAGTTAGACACTCCAGAGGAGATTGCAAGATGGAGAGAAGAAAGAAGGAAGTGAGTAAAGAGTTCAGAACCTGCGAAATAACATTTTATAGTGGCAAGGCTTATTAGGGTAGTTCAATTCATTGAATTCCTTTATAATGTTGGGCCCAGGGAAAGGAACTATAGGCTGTATTATATGAGACTATTATTGAATGTAGTTTTGGTGAGACTTTATGGGAACTCTTTGATTTAAATAAATGTGTTATAATGGGACTGTACACCAGTCTTTGAAGGGAGCTATTACATGTCACCTGTTAGACATTCAGTCGCTGAAGCAAGAACGAGTGGGTGCTCTTTTTTTTTTTGGAGACAGAGCTCATTATGTCACCCTGGGTAGAGTTCTGTGGCGTCACAGCTCACAGTAAACTCCAGCTCTTGGGCTTAAGCTATTCTCTTGCCTCAGTCTCCCAAGTAGCTAGGACTACAGGTACTCATTACAGTGCTCGGCTGTTTTTGGTTGTAGTTGTCATTGTTGTTAGGTGGGCCCGGGTTGGATTTGAACCCCCCAGCTCCAGTGTATATGGCTGGTGACCTAGCCACTTGAGCTACAGGCGCCGTGGATGGGTTCTTTTATTGAAAAATATACTACTGTATACTTTGCTGCTTTTGTTCTTTTGACTATTGTTCTCAACAAAAAATTGTTAAATGATTGCTGTATGTTAGGCAAAGGGGGTACAGTATGAATATGTATGTATCTACATACATATTTGTCCTTTACGAAATTTGAGCATTTTACCACGTGACTTGTGATTTTACATTTATCAGGCAAGAACGTTTAGTTGATGTCTAGCTATAATACACTTAAGAAAAATCCCTCTAGGGCACTATTTTAATGTCTTCTCAGAAAAGACTAGGATACTTTATCCTGGAACAGGAGACTAAGGCAGAACGATCAGAATGATGAGATATACTATTGAAGTCAACTATTGTTCTCGTAGAATTCGAAAAGTAAGGTGAGCCCAAGCTAAAATAAATTATCCTTAAAAGTCAAAAAGAGGCTCGGCGCCTGTGGCTCAAGTGGCTAAGGCGCCAGCCACGTACACCTAAGGTGGCGTGTTCGAATCCAGCCTGGGCCTGCCAAACAACAATGACAGCTGCAACCAAAAAATGGCCTGGCATTGTGTCGGGCACCTGTGGTCCCAGCTACTTGGGAGGCTGAGGCAGTGGACTTGCTTGAGCCCAGGAGTTGGAGATTGCTATGAGCTGTGATACCACAGCACTCTACCCAGGGGGACAGCTTGAGGCTCTGTCTCAAAAAAAAAAAGTCAAGAAGAGTCTTAAAACTCTGTTGACCAGTAGGTTACAATTTATCCTTTGTTCAACTTAGTTTAAATTTTGAGTTTATATTTACTTACATAGGGAGTGATATGCCAGATGTTGTACTGTTCTGTGAACAAGTTAGGTGCCACTCTTCAAGGCTTTAGAGGTAATTCTGAAGGAGACCAATAGAAACATGGACATTCAGAACCACCAGAAAACAAATAGAATTCAGTAAAAGTGTATGTAAATATCAGATATTAATACTGTGTACAAAGCAAAGAATTGGATTCAAGTAGAGTCAAACCAGTCAACGTAGATTGGTGGATGTAATAGAATTTCAGGAGTGTCTTTAGCTAACAAATGAAGGAATCTAGACTACCTGGAGTAAAATATACTAAAATGCTTTTCCCTTTATTTCTTTGGCAAAATCTTTTTTCTTTTTTTTTTTGGCCAGGACTAGGTTTGAACCCGCCACTTCTGGTATATGGGGCCTGCGCCCTACTCCTTGAGCCACAGGCACTGCCCTTTTTTTCCCTCCCATTTTATTTTATTTATTATTGTTATTATTTTTTACAAACAATAGATTTGCTGCAACATGCTCTGGCTCATATTATTGAATTAAAAAATTTAACACATTTCAAAAATATCAAAAATACACTATAATGCGTCTTAGGACTACAATACAACAATGATTGCACGAAACCATAAAATATGAGCCCACTGTCTGGATGACATCCATTGGCAACAGTGAGAGAAGACGCTACCGTGTCTGGGAGGGGCGTGAAAGTCAGAATACAAGGAGCGAGTTTGATGGGTCACCAATGAGGGTGACAGAGCAGGGTTTGCTGTAGCTGCTTTTCTCCATCTAGGAAGTGCTTCCTTAACTATGGGGCGGAAGTCACTCACTGCAGAGAAAGATTAACTCGCCTCCGTGACTGGGAAGTCTGAAGGGCTCCACGTGAGGGAAGTGAAAAGTGACACAAGACAGTTCCATAGTGACATCACCGAATGGCTCGGAGACTAATTATGTAATAATTGGTACATGTATCGATTAATAGCTAAGTGCTCCCTTATGGAGCTCTCTTCCTTAATTATTATTGAATAGATAGAAAAGGTGAGCCTGTGGTTTCCAAGTACCTGCTTCTGCAAACTTGGAAAGAGAATCATTTGATATTCAGTACATTGGGCCCTTTTTTTTTTAAGACAGGGTCTCACTTTGTCACCCTTGGCAGATGCTGTAGTGTCTTAGTTCACAGCAACCTTAAATTCTTGGGCTCAAGTGATCCTCTTCCTCAGCCTCCCAAGTAGCTGGGACTATAGGCACGTGCCCAGCTCTTTTTAGAGATAGGTCTCACTCTTGCTTAGGCTGGTATCAACTCATGAGCTCAGGCAGTCCATCTACTTCAGCCTCCCAGAGTGCCGGGATTACAGGCGTGATCCACTGCACCTAGCTCTTTGGCAAAATCTTAATCTTGTACGCCTAAAGATCTGATTTGTCACTCTTTTCTTATTCTTTATTTCCTTTTATTGATGCCATCAGAGTGCCTGTCTATAACATAATAAGGAGCTTATACTAGGATGTCCTTAGTACATTCCTTTCTTCCTTCATTGAGAAAGTTTTGTTAAGGAAAAAGATGTCAGCTAAACTAACATGCTTAGTGGCATGGTTGATTTATGCTCTGGTGTAAGTGTGTGGATTAGTTGCAAATCCTGAACCAAACTACCCTAAAGCACTGTTTATTATGTCTTTGCAGATACATAGGTTGATAATACAACCACAGTATTATTTGTCACATTATCCTTGGCCCTAGTCTTTGACATCTTTGATTCTGCTGTGCTTTGCATAGTGCCTGGAATTTAGTATGTGAAGAATAAATATTTGTTGGCTGAATTACTGTTAAGTGATAATATAGGAAGACTCAGCCTTGGTAGTGATAGGGAAGCCATAGGCAATTTCTAGGTCAAACTTAGAAATTGAAGAAGTTGAAACCATGTTGTTTGAATGTGTCCCTCAAAAGTTCATGTATTAGAAAATTGTTCCCCAAATGCAGCAGTGTTGAGAGGTGGAATGTTTGGGAGGGGATTGAGTCATGATGGCTTTGCCCTCATGCCTGAGCTAATCTATTTGTAGATTACTGGATTAATAGGTTATCTAGAGCATGGGTTAGTTATCACAAAAGTGAGTGTTGTAAAAGTCAGTTTGCCTGTCTCTGATGAGCCCCTTTGTCATGTGATGCCCTGTGCCACCTCAGGACTCTGCAGAGAGTCCCCTTTAGGAAGAAGGGCCTCACCAGATGTGGCCCCTGAATTTTGGATTTCCCAGCCTCCAGAACTGTAAGAAATAAATTTCTTTGCTTCATAAATTACCTAGTCTCAGGTATTCATTTATAGCAACATAAGCAGCCTAAGACAGACCATGAACTAATTGGATTTAGTAAAGAATTTACCAGTTGGTTACATCTTTTTCTCATTTTTTTTGCACAGAAGAATAAACAAAGAAAAGTTAACTCTATTTCCTGTCTGATAGATACGTAAGTTTATTTTTTATTTCATTTCTTTTGAGACAGAGTCTTACTTTGTCACCCTGGGTAGAGTGCTGTGCTGTCATAGCTCACAGCAACCACAAACTCTTGGGCTTACCCTGAGATTCTCTTGCCTCAGTCTCCCGAGTAGCTGGAACTATCGGCACCCGCCACAATACCTGGCTATTTTTAGAGACAGGGTCTCTTTCTTGCTCAGGCTGGTCTCGAACCCATGAGCTCAGGCAGTCCACTCACACTGGCCTCCTGGAGTGTTAAGGTTATAGGCGTGAGCCACTGCGCCCAGCCTAGATACGTAGGTTTAAAAGAAATAAAATGATGTTGCCGAAGCCTATATCTTGCTAAGATAGAATGGAAATAGCATCACTGTTAAGACACTAGGGATTTTTCTCCAACTAGTCCTGACTTTCATCAGTCGGAGAGGAGTGTAGCTCAGTGGTGTCAGCCCCTTTTATAAACATTTAATTCTCTTGAGAGGAATGACAGTAGTTATAAGTCACTAATAATTAATAAAGCAACTGAGAATTTATCTAAGTAAGCTAACTTGTTCTTGAATGTCTGAAGTTTGGAGTTGACTTCCGTCTCTAGGAAAGGTCTGAAATGACTTCCTGATTTGCCACCTTTGGTCATTTTATTTCTAGTTGTGTAAATTAAATTATTGTATAAGCGGGAAAACAGGGAACCACTATTAAAATTAACATAACAACTTCAGCAAACTCTGTTCTCCGTCTGTAGCTATTTCACTCTCCTACACTGCTCCACTCTTTTCTCCCTCTTAGCATATAAGAAGGAAGGACCTTGTCTAGTCTGGTAGATTAGTGTTCCATGCTATAAGGAGGTTGAGATGAACTCAGAACTAACTAGGGAAAGATAAGGGGAGGGAGGGAGTAGCAGTTAGACAGAAGTTGGCATGTTTGAGGAACTGTGAGTATACGTAAGAGATGGCAGAAGCTTTAAAAAGATGACAGTATAGGGCTGGAGAGAACTGGGTGCATATAGAACATTGGGAGATGAAAATGAGCAGTATTTGGTGATTAAATGATTATGAGGTTGAGGAGGACCCAAGTATTTAGTGTGAGCACTTCTGTGAAAAGCAGTGCCTGTCGCTGAGATGGGGAACACAGAGGACAGGGTTTCAAGGTATTCATTTTGGACGTTGTTGAATGTAAAGAGATCCTGGGACATTTATTTGAAGGTATTTAGCAGACGTTG